TAGATTCGTGACTGAAAACAACTTTGTACAGTACGCTTTGTTTCTTCTCTATTACATTTCCAGTGATGTTAATGAAGCCGAATTAAAAAAATTCTTCTAAATATTTATGTTGTGTTTCAAATTACTAAGGTTTAGTATACCAGTTGGCGACCCCCCAGAAAGACCTTCGCGACCCCCAGGGGGGTCGCGACCCCCAGGTTGGGAACCCGTGGGCTAGGTCATTCGTGTGGTTTTCTCATTTCCCACGTAATTGCAAAGATGATTAGAAGCAGCCTTAACCAAATAAGTTAGTTTCTTGGCTATAGTTTAAAGATAAGTTGTGTAGCCTAAGTATCGTGTGGTGCGTTGGGCTACAAGATATTGTGCATGATGATCTAGTGTATAATGATTATGAGTAGAGTTTTATCACAATTCATCAGTATTTTAATCGATAATAGGATTGAGAGAAAGTGATAGAATACGGTCTTAACCGTTTACTCCAAGAAGAAACATGCCTCTTTTTTAAAACGAGGGGAGGGGGTGAAATGACAGTTGGAGTCATTTAGCCTAGGCCTAATCTAGAGTGGTCGTTCTTGTCGCCGTGTCAGAAGTGTGTTGTACACACGTGGGCAGATGAAACCAATTCGACCCTCTGGTTACCAGTTCTCTCCGGTGGGAAGGGGAGGGGTTATTTGGGGCAAGGCTGACCGCGTCCCAGTTGACCATTGTGTTAACAAACAAGTAGCCTAAATCTCTTCGGTGATGGGGCCCTGATAAGGGGCGAAGTGGTGTACCGACTATGCAAACTGGTTTAGGGCTGAAATGATTACACTAGTTATTAGTACACAGGTTCTCAAACTTTTAAGAGTAGATATCCCTTTTTATAAATGCACACCGATACATTTGAAAAGGGCTTAGGAATAATCAACCCCATTAAAAATACAAACTGCGCTTTCGTGATTTTTTTTTAGTTTACTACAAATAGAAAACCCACGTGGTCGTGACCGATTTGTTGGGAATCTGTATGCTAGTAAATCGTGATGTGGAAAGCAGAATTGTAGATTTTACACCCTTTTTTTAAGGTTATTGTTTACTCTCAAGAAACTAGACAACTCAATATTGACCATACATAACAAAATAGGCCTTTCACTGCGCATGTCAGAATCCTCGTCACCACCTCGTTTTCCCATGTCTTTTAATTGATGTTTGCTTCCGGTAGCCTCAGGGTCATCGTATGGTTTCATTCATTCGCCGATTCAACTAAAGCAGGGCTAAAGAACACAGATACTTCAGTTTCTGCTTTTGTTGAAGGAATGCTTCAAAAGGTGGGGGAGGGGGTGGAGTGTCAAAACGTTCGATAGGCTAAGGAACAAGCGCCTGGGGTTTGTTGTCTTAAAGCTCCCTGAAACAAGACGGGCCTACGGCGATGATGTAGACAAAAGATTAACAAAACTGATTACATTGATTGCGTGTCAACTATAGATTCTATGTCGCTGGGGGCTTGTGTTGAGTGGGTGTGTAGGGGTGGGGTGGGCAGATTTTTTAAAGTAGAATGGGAGATGGGAAAGAGTGAAAAGTTTAGCCACAGTACTCAGAGAGTTGAGAAGTGGGCTTTTTTTCCAAGAAATTTAAATTACAAGAACGTAAGCATGTAGGCTTGGGTGTTGTAATAATGTTAGTAATGAATATAGGGCATGTGCCCATCAGTTTTTCTTTCAGACATTTTTTATCTGGGTGGGGGGGGGGTCTTGAAACTTTCGGGTGGGGGGGGGGGTTGAAACTTTCGGGTGGGGGTGGGGGAGTGGCGGACAATTTTCTATATTAATTCTCTTTCGTAGATGTGCTTAGGGGAGCGTATCTCCCTCCTCCTACCCCCCCCCCCCCTGAAGAAGAGATGCCTGAAAGAAATGTCTCCACTCTTTCCCTTCTGAAAACTTAAAATAACTTCATGTATAGAACAGATCTTGTAATTAGAGCCCGATACGTTGCTAATGAGTTTCGCTACATTTTAAAAAGAAAAACAATTATTGGAAAGTGGCTGGAAAAATCGAACATGGAGTACTTTTACCTTGTAAAAAAAACGTATTTAGCTGTGACGTAGTTTAACTTTAAAGCAGATGTATCAAAGGAAACACTACATCGCGAAACTTAGAAACTACTCTGTAAATTAGATTATTACATTTGAATTTTGTTCTTCATTCATTATTCATTAAGCGGGAGGAAGTCACTTTTAAAAATAATTTTAAAAACAACAACAGGAAACTAGGTCAAATGGGAACCAAAAAGTCCCTAGTTTAAGACACCGTGTCGTTTAGATGAGACTGGGGATAGCATGAATCTAAGGGAGAACACTCCGAATTCAAGCGTTGGTCTTGCTGATTGTTCTTGGGATGACAAAAAGCTATGGAAGCTAATCCAGAAAGAAAAGCAGGCTGAGGTCGAAGTCAAATTATAGGTCATGTGGCGCATACCATGTTGACACGCAATACTTTATTGTGTTGGGAGAAATGCCCTTCAATATTACAATTTAGAACGAAGAATAAATTCAAAGGTACGATTATTAAAAGAAGAAAGCTAGAGGAACATTAAGAAGAAAAAAGTTACTCACTATCATTCAAACCTAAAGATGTATATGATGTTGTTATATATGAGTGTTGAAAAAAAGATATTATTATGAAAGGGTCCGCCTCTAATTAAAGTCAAATTGTTATAAGGAAGGTGTTCAGGACTTTTGCGACAATGTGGGTGTTTGTGTGTGTGGAAAGGGGTGTGTGGGGTTACAAAAAAAAAAAGTAATTTTTCAAAGCTAAGTTATTTCCATCATGCATTTTACAGATTTTCTATAACATGATGGGGAGGGGCGGGGGGGCCTATAGAATGAGGTCATTTTAAGGGGGGTGGGGGTGATTAAAAAATCGTCAAGTATAATGACCGACCTCCAAAATGATCATTTAGAAGGTTATGTACCAGTTTTATTTACCTTACACCTTAAAAGCAGACATCATTTTCTAGACTGTAAAGACAAAAATGAGAATATAATCCGAAGAAATATATGAATGTCTTCTTTAAAATAGACATGAAAGGCTGACAGCGTTTAATTTAGTCTACAACTTTTACATAGTTTTATATTGTGTTGTTTCTGTCTCTATGTCGCTAGTGTGCTTACCTTTAGACCTAATCCCATCTCCCTTGAAGTAATAGAAGTCGCAATGTAGGTTGTAAATGTGGCTGAAATAGGATGAGTATATCAAAAATTAATTAATTGTTTTTGACACTGTAGCCGTATAGGTGTTGATTCATAGTTTTAGATGCTATTGCTCCATGGAACAACCAGAGTTTCTTCCAGGCATCTCTTTCCCCCCCCCCCCCCCCCCCGAACGAGATGGAATTTATATAGTAAACAAACACTTTTACTAGTGTCCGCCCCCACCACCGAAAAATGTTGACCGGCCCCCGAAAATATCAAGCCCCCCCCCCCCCCCCCCCCCGAAGAAAAAAGTGTGGAAGAAACACGGAAACAACATCGGGTTATCTTTCACCTTCTTAATTATAATTAAGTTGATGTTTAGAGGCATATAAGTGTGAATCGTCAGTGTTTTTATTATAAGACTTTGAAAAAAAATTATTTACATCAGAATTGTGCAAGAAGTCGATAGTAAAAATTGTCTGCTTTCAGTTTTATACCTGCAAGGGAAGTGACCAGACATTGACAAATTTGATGAAACAGTTTTAATGCTTGCCTCTCTTTAAAAGTTGCCATGTTTCCATGTTAAAATTGTTGAGCTCAGTAGATAATTACCTTTTTTTACACACAAAAAAGCGCAATGAGTGGTCCCTGTTGTTAAATCAACTAAAACCCTAGGCACGTTCAGTAAAGAAGCTATGACCTCTAAATTATTCTATAAGCAACAACAGGACGCAGTAAATTAAACAGGCAAAGTTTCTTTCAGACTTCTCTTCTGGCGGGGAGGGGGCACCGCCATTTTACCCTCTTCCCCGACCCACCCCTTCCATCGCCCGAACGAAATTCATATTCAAAATATATACTTTAACCTTGTCCGCTCCCCCGGAAATTTACACCGCCCCCCCCCTCCCCCATAAAATATCAAGTCCGTCGTCCCCCCCCCCCCCCCCCCCAGAAAAAAAATGTCTAAAAGAAACACTGTTTATTTGTGGATTAGCAGTGTCCAAAAATATATTTGAAAACGAAGTAGTAAAAATACCTTTTTCGCCCCCCCCCCCCCGAAATTTTTTTACCGCCCCCCCCCCCCACCCCCGAACGAAATGAAATTTATATAATTTATATAGAAATTATATACTTTTAACAGTGTCCTTCCCCCCCCCCCGAAGAAAGTTTACCGCCCCCCCCCCCGAAAATGTCAAGTGCCCCCCCCCCCCCCGGAGAAAAAAGTCTGGAAGAAACACTGCTTTTAATACTTTCCAACATTGCTATTTTTAATATGCCCTAATTTTCTGCTCATTTGTTTGGCAATCATTGAAGTAGAACAAAAAATTGTTCTAGACAGCTAAGAGAAAAAAAGGCATTTTTATACTGCATAAAAAACGAATAGTAACACATATGCTGCAGCTGGATTTGAATTATGACTAGATCTAGATATATAACTGTGTCACCCACATTAAGGTCGGACAAACCCTTGCATAATTTTCATGATCTACTATTATAAATTAACCTATATATAGCAATTTGTTTTAAATGCAAATAGGCCTAATTACTTTTATCTATCTTTAATCTAATTATTTAAAAGAATTTTTTTTTTAAATGTAACCTATTTGATATTCATTAAATGAACTCGATTCTAATACGCTATTTCATCCTCACATCCTATTGCTATTATATATTTGCCAATTTTTTTTTTATTATTATTAAAGCTAGATAGGCCTAACATAGATTAGGCCTACTTAGTTTATTTCAAGGGACACAAATATAGCTTGCTTCTAGTAATTTAAAAAGATGGTCACCTCCCCTTAACTATTAAACGCATAGGCGGGAATGCGCATACGGGTCTCTTTGTTATATAGTTCACGTGAATAGTTTATTCATACAGAAGGCTTCTAGTTGGTTGAACGTCATAGCGTCTCTCTGTGCTGAAGCTTCTCTCTACTCGGTCTTCTCTTTTCCTATACAGAATAGTCTAACGATGGGTAAGTGTTTTATGATTGATTTTATAAATAGAAAATATAAAGTAAAATTATTTAAATCGTTTGAAATGATAGAATAGTGATGTTTTTATGTGCAGACAATCATTGAACTCGTAAATTTATGTTTTTGTGTCACACTTCGACAACGAATGCGGGGCACCGGCTTCTTTCTTCTTTAGCCATCTTGGTTTGCTGTTCAGGCGCGCTTATTACATGAGAATCATAGTGGGCCTATATTTCCTCTACATTTATGCTCCAATGTTGTTCTATATAGTAACATATACCATTAGATAGAGAAATTATTTTAATTTAATTGGAAATTATTATAAACATTACTTATTATATAAAAAGATGTATTTTATGGTCTTTTAGCGTCAAATCGATGGATTTGAACATTGTTTTTCTTTGTTCCAAGGTCGGCTAAGGAATTGAGTGAAATATGGGTTCTTTTTCTGTCTTAAGACCGCGAGTTTTAAAGAGGGCGCCTTTTTATACTATTGCATTTTAATACGGCATAGATCTAGTCTTATTAAATAGAGATATTTTCTAGATCTACGCTTTTAGTCTCAAATGGTCTGGTTTCTTAATCTAGATTCTAGATTATACTACTAACATGGAAAAGTAATAGAATAGGCCAGTAGATCTAGATTTCTAGATCTATCTGGATCTCATCATGTAAGAAAGTAAAAGGCCTAACACAAGCACTGTGAACAGCTACATTTAGCAGATAATTAAAATCAATTGACTAGATCTAGATAGATCTGGAATCTAGCTCATGATTGGCTTTGTCTGCACATGATCTAGATCTAGATTCTAGATCTCTACATGTAGATTCTAGAAATCTTAAAATTTTGAAATACAGCTCAGACTGAAATTCATGTAACTTACCGGATTCTAGAGTCTAAGCGTGGATTCTAGATTCTAAGTGTCGTTGGTTCTGATGAATAGCTGTATTCTTGAAACTTTAACATATGGCAGTTGTCGTTTTCTTGGGGTTTTTTTTTTTTTCTTCTAATTTTCTGCTTTTCATCATAATCTTGCTGCTGTAACTTTTTTCCTGCATATTAAATAAGCCAACCCAGTTGTCCCCTGCCATTGCTTTGGGAGGAGCTAGTAGCCAGTTGTCTTAACACATGGAGTTAGAGCATGTTAGGTGTACTTGTCCAATTCAATTAAGAGGCAGTGTCTTTTTTTCCACACAGTGGATAACCTGACACTTAACAGATATGTGCGCGTAAAGGTTGACACTAAATTTCTTCCATTTTCAGAATCAAAACGTAAGCAAGCCAGGACCACTTTCTTCTAAATTACAGTCCTATGGTCCAAAAATTGCTGGTCTTAGCATATGAAGGGCTTTAGTTTAAAAACTTTGCCATGACACTCAACTTTCTTCCTTTTACCAAAATTAACTTCTGTAAAAACTGTTGTAACTTTCTGGGTTCTTTTTCTCTTTATATAATAGCACTGGTTTCTGCACTGGTCTGCTCATTTCTAGTATTTACCTTTTTTCATGGGAAGAAACTTCTGTGTTAATGTCATTTTAATTTATACATTATTTTGTTGTTTTTGTTTTTCTTTAATTTTGCTTTATACTTAATTTTACATTTTATCAGGGGAAGTTATGTTGGTAATGACAGAAGAATGCTTGTGTGGCTGTTTTATCTCCCCTTGTGTTAGGCTTTCTTGTTTTTATACCATATAACTATTCTCTCTGCAAATAATTAAGTTGACTGATCCATATTTCTTAGGTCGCCCAAAGGGAGCTCTTGGAAAAAATAACAAGAAAAAGGTTAAGGATGTGAACAAACCCAAGAGGGCAACATCTGCCTACTTTTTCTTTCTTGCACAATGCAGAAAGGAAGCTGCCAAAGCTGGAAAGGCTCCCACAAAGGTAATGTCATGTCTTATAGCTTACATGTGCTTAAAATTAATAAATGGATACCTTTCCGGTGTCCCCTCTACACAAAGGAAATTAATTTTATTACATTAAACAGATTGCCGAATTTACTAAAGAGGCTTCAGAAAAATGGAGGTCTTTGACTGCAGACAAGAAAAAGCCATTTGAAGCTGCTGCTGCAGATGACAAAAAAAGATACGAAACTGAGGTGAGAAATTGTCATAATTGCACTAATTGATTTGAGTAAGCATTGTATAATTTTGATAATTATGTGCTAACGCATATATATTTTTTTTTAATTTTTTTTTTTTAGATGGCAGTTTACAAAGGTAAATCAGTGGATCCCAATAAACCCAAGAGACCACCAACAGCCTACTTTTTATTCCTGGCTGACTTCAGAATAAGAATGGCCAACAAGGGTATTGAACATAAAGAGCTTCTCAAAATGGGTAAGCTGTTTGGTTCTTTATTATATTTATATACATGTATATATAAAGTATTTTTTAAGGCATTAAGGTTTGAAACTTTTTCCACTACTACTGTTTTGTTTTTTCTTTACATGTACAGCTGGTGAAGAATGGAGGTCATTGAGCAATGAAGATAAAAAGCCATATGAGAAGAAAGCTTTAGAAGAGTCTAAAAAGTACGAGTCTGCAATGACAGAATACAGAAAGGTAAATATGCTTGTCCTTTATTGAATTTTTCCAGCCTCTTTATTTTTTTCATGACTTCACTAGATAGATATGAGCGGTCTTTGCTTTTTTTTTTTTAACCATTTTTATAATTTGCTTTTTTTTTCACTACTTCACTAGGTAGATATGAGTGGTCTTTGCTTTTTGCTTTAACCATATATTTTTTTAAATTTATTTTTTTCTAATTTTATTTTCAGACTGGTCCACCTACTGGCGGTCCTGCTGCCAAGAAAGCAAGAGTTGAAGAGGAGGAGGAGGATGAAGAAGAAGATGAGGAGGAAGAAGAGGATGATGATGACGATGATGAATAGATTTACTTGGTCTGCAGTTTTGTAAATACTTTTATAACATTCACTTGCCGTACTGACATTACTACTTGCAGATACCTATTGTGACACCTGGAAAATCTTGTTTGTCACCTAATTTCTTGGAGTCATTACAACCATCCATCTGACTTGAAAGATCTGTATTAGAGGTTATGACAGATTGACTTTGACATTGAGTTACGGCTTTTGTTATTGAGTGTAAAGGTTGGCACATCTTTGATCAGTTGTGTGCCAGCATCAATACTTAGTTAACTGGAACACTTGAGAAATGAATGTATCATCATCTATGTTATTGTTATCGCCATATCTTTTTAAGATATAAGCAATTCCTTAGATTTTAAACACCTTTGCTGGCTTAAAAATGCCACTACCTGAATTTTAACATAGCAACTTTGGCACACACCTGTCTCAGGGATGTAAGCTATTCAAGCTGTGTCACCATTTGTCACCAACTTTCTACCTGTTTATTTGCATCTGGTAAGACCATTTTGGCATGGTAAGGTATCAAGATGTTTTAAGTAGGGTGCTGTATCTAGACTAGTGTGTATGAATGAGCGACTGATTTTTCTTGGACAAACTTTTAAAATATTTTTTCAAAGGCTGTCTTAGTGCCATTTATGGAATTTTAAATTTGTAACAGTGCTTTGTACTGCCAATGTAAAATTATAACTTGAATTTAGTCTTTTTATTAATTTTTTTTTTTGTAACTCGTATGTTAGGGTTATGTTGATTGTTACAAAGATTTTAATTTTTACCTGTCTGGTGGTGTGAGCAGGGCTTTAATTTTTTCTCAAGCCATCACAAGAGGGTTAGTTGTAAGTAGTGTCACAGTATGTTTTATCTGCTTTTGATGACATGCGAGTACTGTAATAGTTTTCATGACACATGACAAACTTGGGTCCCTGTCAATTAATGTTGATCATCATCATCTCTTCACAGTTGTCCTAATGTTGTGTAGGTGTTCTCATCACATTGATAATCATCATTCACTTGGTTCATTATCATTGTATCTTTGTAGTATAGAAAAACTTGAACAAAGTCTTTAAAAATAGTCATTGTGTTTTTTTTTTCACCACTACTGTTCATACTTTTGATGTCCATGAAAACATGTGTTGTAATAAAATTAAAATAAAAGTAATATAACTGTATTCCAGTGTCTGGTTCTTGTCTGATTGTATAGTACCTGTAATATCAGATTGATTCATGTGCTTAAAAGTTGCCTCGCGTAAGCTGTCTTGTGCTTTAACAATGTGAGGCTGCTTTGTCTGACAGAGTAGTATAAAAATTACTAATTTACTTCATCAAAAAGAGGAGAGGGTGCAGTGGTAATTATTTCACAACTCTAGTCATGGACTCCGGGGCAGGTTGGTTTAAGCTGTGAGGAGAGTTGTTTTTTTTTTTGTAATTGTTTTATGCTACACATATACAGATGAGACATTTTGAGTTTATATATGAAGGGATTTTAAAATTTATTGTACATGTGTAACAAAATAGCATGTATCAACACACAAAGTAATAAAAACAAAATATAATTGTGTGTTGACAGGTGACTCAGCCCAACTGAGTGACGACTATAATTTACCTTGTACCGGACTGGTAACTTGTGCTACAAAGAAACACCATACATGTTCCAACAGCTTAATAGAAACAGCAGCAGAGGCGTCACAATAGGGTGTGGGCCGCGCTGGGTGACACCAATGTGAAAAATTGCCAAAATATATAGTAAAAAAAAAATAGTAAAAAAAAATTAAATTATTAATGATAAAGTTATGTGCAAAGGACAGCACAGGTTTCTAGTAAATGCCAATGCCTGACCAGAACCGGATCATTTATCGATGAACTCAAAGCCCCGAGGCCTCCTATATTCAGTCATTGACAAGCTAAACAATGCCTGAAGTATGACGGGGCGTACTGAAATTGTGGGAAAGTCACAACAGCCAAAGATTTCTCTACATCCAACGCCTTATACGCCCTGCAGTGTTTCTGCCATGCATCTCTTGGGGGGGGGGGGGGGGCGGACCACCTACCCCGAACGAAATGGAAATTATATATAGATATTATTATACTTTTACCAGTGCCCGGCCCGGAGAAAAAAATTCTGGAAGAAACAGTGGTCTTGCAGGACTGTAGGATCAGGCGCGGTCTAGACTTTAGCCTCAATACGCCCCAGTCAGAAAAGAAATGTATGGGATACCCAGAGACCACCGTCCAGTTCGTCCACGACGTTATCTGACTCCAACGATGAAAATAATTAGTTAGAACGACGACGAGGTAGAAAATCTTTGAGCTTTTCCTCCCAGGCCGGTGACCTTTTCAAGAAGGCCCTTCTCACAGTAATGCCGTGTTAACATCACCCCCTCACACGGTTTGGTCCGCTGGCTATAGCGGTTTGCCGGGGTATGGCGCTTGAAGACACGTGTGGGAGATCTAGGGGACAGAAGGGGTGAGGCCGTTCACCTAAAGGTAGAGCTTATCGTACATCAAAGGTACTACAACTGCCCAGAACCAGGGGCGTAGCGAGGGGGGGGGGGGGTGCGGACCGCACCGGGCGACACCATTTAGGGGGGTGACACCAAGGCAAAAAATAGCAAAATATATAGAGAAAAACTTGAAGGGGGGGGGGGGGGTGCAAATCGAAAGTTTGAGGGTGGGTTGCAAATCGAAAACTTGAGGGGGGGGGTGCAAATCGAAAGTTTGTCCCCGGGAAGGATCGCTACGCCTCTTGGGGGGGGGGGGGGTCACACCTCACACCATTAAGTGCCGCACTGGGTGACACCCGACCTCGCTACGCCACTGCCTAGAACTACTATAGTCAGTAGCGTACGCAGGGGGGGGAGCAGGGGGAGCTGCCTCTCCCCCTCTGGCCATTTTCAGCAAAGTGGCGCCTTTTTGGAAACTTTTTAAACTCAAAGTTTTAAATAATGATATTTGTTAAAAACATATATTTGGTCGGCACATATATGTAAATCACAAGATTTCTTTTCATGCAGCAATTAAGCATTATTGTACTAGTCTAGTAGTGTCTACGTTTACAACACGTATTAACAGCTGCATCAGTTTGCCCTTCTAAAAATAACCATTACGATGCAATGCAATGTTTAAAAAACCTCTACGGGTAGAACCACTTTGCAAGAGGGGTGTTAAGTTTAAGGCAACTGTATAATGTATTTGCTTACAAATAATTGAATTAGAAAATGTTATACATAAAACTTCACACATAATTACTTTATATATACAATTTGAATCGTGTGATTAATTTTTTTAAAATTACAATACAGAAACAAATACAACTGATGTGGCACCTCTATTTAAATTTACTTATGAGCAAACTGCGTAGTGGTGGGGAAATTTTGACAAGGTCAACAACGTCATCACGATGAAGTAGTAGTATTCTTACAGTTTGGGCGATTGTGATTACGATTACAAATTATATGAAACAGTTACAACCCCCCTCCCCCATGGACCCCTCTGTAAAAAAAAATATTGTCATAATACCTCTGCTACTTATTTAAATCTCTTAGTGTAATATATATTTGTGTAATATATATGTATGTTTAGAACAGTCATCTAAAAACTGACGCTCTGAGTTGGTTATCTACCCCCCCCACACACACATCTTACCTCACCACCACAATTGTGTAGAGCGACATTAATGTCACACCTAGGTATACACTGGGTTGGATAATTGACCTAAAGTGACCGGACAGTGGTGAATGAAATTGAGCCCACCCTCCACCCCAATCCACCACGAACTGATCTGTTAAGTACATGTAGAAAAACGCGTAATGATGTACCAAAGTACCATGCCGCCAGAAAATTACCTTTTTAAACGTTAAACTCTGTGAATATTGTTTTTGGAATTACCAGTAAAAAGGTGTGTGATCGATACAGTGATCTAACCCATAACTATCACTATGTTACAAAATTATCTTTAAAGAACACAAAGAAGCAGTAGTTAATTAAAAATATATGATCTGAACTAAAAAGACCGATATTCAGTTAAATGTAGGCTGTTATTCAGAATGTATTCTCTTATATCGAAAAGCGTGTTTTTATACCCTGATTTTAAAAACGTTCATTATGCTGTAATACTTTAGCATTTATGATAACGATATGTTTAATTCTGATTATAGACAAAACATTTTGTAGACACGAATAGTGTTAAACAATTTGATTATATTCTAAAGTAATTATTTATTTGTTTTGACCTTTATAATTAAATGTGTAGATATATACATATTTATATTAAGAGAGTGATTATTTCCCCTATTTCACTTGTCTTAAAAAAAATTTCACGAATTATTATGTAAGAAATTTTTTTAAAAAGAATTACAAAACAGATTGTGTTACGTTCATTGTTTTTGGTTGTAGTGTGCGTATATTTTTTTTTTTGTTTAGATTGATACAATTTTCGTTTTGTCGGCCTACATTGTGTGTTTTTTCTTATTTCTTCAGAGTGCTACTTTCAATTTATTTTACATCATAGCGAAGTAATGACATACAGCTAGTAATTATAAATAAATAAATAAATATATATATATATATATATATATATATATATATATATATATATATATATATATATATATATTTATATTTATATATACATATACATATATATATATATATATATATATATATATATATATATATATATAGGCCTATATATATATATATATATATATATATATATATATATATATATATATATATATATATATATATTATATATATATATATATATATATATATATATATATATATATATATATATATATATATATATATATATATATATATATATATAATACACGTATATAGAACGTGTTAAAAATTCGGCGCCTTTTTTTTGCTCTTTTCGCTCCCCCTACAACGAAAACCTGGATACGCCTCTGACTATAGTATAAGTACGTTAAACTGTTAGACCTACACTGAAGGCAACAATGCTTAAGTACACCCAAACATGTCGAGATTTTCGATTGTCACGTGATAAGGGCTCTTATGGTTAGTGAAAGCAATGGCCGACTACTTTTCCTTATCGGTAAAATAAAACAGTCTATGGCCCTTTATCATATTATAGGACTGTTGTTTTTTTTTAATGCTTACATAAGTTCACATTTATGAGCTCATATTAGTATTATTAGCATAATTTTATTGCAACTTCAGTTCACGTCCCAACGATTTCAGGCTAGACTGTAAAAGTATAACATTTGCCTGAGCAGTGAGTGATATCACAGGCAATCAATATGGAACTTTGCACAAACACCGCATGGAACAAGAATATAGAGATCGATTTTTTTTTCTCTTTTTTTTTTATTGTCGTATGGTAACCGGTGCCGCGCAGTGTACTGCGATGATAGAGATTTCGAATCAAGCTGGCCTATTATTGGTGTAAGCGCCCCCACTCCTCGCCTGCCACAGGAGAAATGTTAACACCCAGGTGGCTCCAAATTACTGTCCTCACATAGTGTTAAAACGATGCATGTTTATATCGAGTATTATAAAAGGACAACTTTTCTATACTTATGGTATTGACCCCTTCACTTAAGTAGCAGGCTATCGTTGTATCAGTGAAGGATTTTGTAATGTAAGAGTCAGTAGGTTTCAATTGTCTTATATATATATATATATATATATATATATATATATATATATATATATATATATATATATATAGGCCTATATATATATATATATATATATATATATAGTTTCATTTTCAGCCCTTACTATCCATAGGGCAGATAAAGTAGAGTTTCTTCACCTCCGCATATGAAGGGAAAGTGTGGACATCATATGCCCAACCGTCTTTTTACGAGTCAGGTACCCACAAAGCTGGGTGGACCTCCTACAGTCTCAGTAGATTATATTGATTTGATTACAAATATACAAGAAAACAGCTGTTTTCTTTTTTTTAATCGTTATATTTGAGAGAATAGAGTTACATATTTAAAAACTAACATAACAGCTCAGTGTCTAGATTCTATGTATGGGGTCATCCATAAATGACGTCATACTCGTATAGGGGGAGGGGGGTCCGTAATTTTGTGATGATGTGTGATGAGGGGGGGGGGGGGTTTCAGATGTTGCGACGTCACATTTTTGAATTATAAAAAAGCAATGTTAGAAAACGAATTTTAGACGTTAT